GTGATAGATTCTCACCTCAACTGCCTGAGTTTCTGTAGCCATTCATAGGGCTGATTTTGAGATACTCAGCTGATAAGTTTGGCTTTGAACTGCATTCGATTTCTTTCACTACTGTATTAGGCATCTTCTGAAATCGAAGAGACTTCAGATGAAGTTCCTCAAGGTGTTATCCCAACCAACTATTCCCCAATGTACTCCAATAAGTGAGAAACTATTTACCAAGAACCTACTGTGTGCCAGCTTCTTGTAGGAATGAACCCTTGGCTAAAGCAGAAGCCACTCTGTTTCCCCCCTCCCAACCCCCCGCAGGGATTTGTTGACCACTCCAACTCCCTAAAGATTTGTTGACCATCTACCTTCCTCCCAAGCCTCTTACTACCTACAGGAAGCTACAGAAAAATCATAGCAGATGACAAGCCAAGGTGAGATTGGAACTGGCAGAGAGCATGGCTTTACAATTGAGAAAACTGATGCAGGCCCAGAAAGAAGTGTTATTATCCAAGCCAGAAGCTGGTGGCTCATGCCACCATCCTAGCTATTCAGGAGGCTGAGATGTGAGGATTGTAGTTCAAAGCCAGCCCAGGCAGGAAAGTTGATGGGACTCTTATCTCCAATAAATTACTCAGAAAAAGCTGGAAGTAGCACTGTGGCTCACTGGTAGAGTGCTCACCTAGAGCACAAAGAGGCTTAAGGACAGCACCTAGGTCCTGAGTTCAAGCCCCAGGACAGGCAAAAAAAAAAAAAAAAGTGTATTATCTAAGGCAATATAGCCTAGTGGACCAGACTCAGAACCAGCTCCTGATTCCAAGGACCTTCCACTTGACAACCCCATGAGGAAGCCAACCAGGATAACTCCAGCAAATGGGAAAAAGGACCTAGATTCTGTGTCTCTAAGAATAACTCCGTGAAACCACACAGCCAAGCAACCAGGAAGCTACATCCAATGGGTAACACATATTTCGACAGAACATTACCAGGTATTTAAATACAGACCAGCCCATTACCCAACAGGTATTGCTGGTGGGCATCCAAGACAAACATGTTCAATCAGCACGGAAGAGCCGAGGTGACATGCCCTGTCCCAGTGAGGATGTGTTTCCAGCCGCTCAGCGGCTCTGATGCTCTCTTGCTACTAGGCATATGGATCTTTGGTTAGGCTGGAGTGGAGGCAAATAAATAATGAGGAAGAAGCGAAGGACTGAGTCTCTGTCTCCCCAACTAATGGGTTGATGAGTTTAGGTGAACAAGTTCTGCTCTGAAAGGCTCAGCCTCCTCATCTGGAAAATTAAGCAGTTGGCTCAGGTTTTCAGTGTTGGCTTTAGAAGGCCTGTGGCATGCCTATGTAGCTGTCCAGATTATGTAAAGCAATGCATTAAATGTAAGCCACAGCACCTCATCGAATATATAACTTCATCTTTGGTTTTCTGGTCCATGCGATTTTAAGTATTAAGGATCAGCTTTCTCCCTATTTTTTTCTTCTCTCAACGTATTTTCCCCCTACCAGGGAACTGGTGGATCACACCTGTAATCCTAGCCAATCAGGAGGTTGAGATCTGAGGCTCGCAATTCGAAGCCAGCTCAGGCAGAAAAGTGCCTGTGAGACTCTTATCTCCAAATAAACACTCAAAAATTGGAAGTGGTGCTGTGGCTCAAATGGTAGAGTGCTAGTCTTGAGCACAAAGAGGCTTCGAGACAGCACCCAGGCCTTGAGTTCAAGCCCCACAACCGACAAAAAAAATTTTCCCTCTTTCTTCCTTGCTCTTCCTTCCTTTTTTCCTTCCTTTCTTTTCCTGCCTTCCTTCCTTCCTTCCCTCCCTCCCTCCCTCCCTCCCTTCCTTCCTTCCTTCCTTCCTGGTATTAGAGCTTGACTTCAGGGCTTCTTGGGATCCATTTTGTTAAACTGTGTCACTTAGCATTTTTTAGTTATGCAATTTGTGGTTTCAGGTATTCAGACTATGTCATCAGAACATGTCTCTCGCCATCTCTTGGTTCTGCTTTTTTCTATGCTGACTTCATTCTCAGAGATTTCTCTGCATAAGTGCTGGCAGTCCCTTCACAGCTCTGGACTTAATATCTCCAGTGGACAGATGGCATTCCTTTCCAGAAAGTTCCATTGGTCATCATTGAACCAGATGGTAGCCTTGTTCATCCTGAACAGATCAAACTAGATTTCTCATTGGCCCAATAAGGGCCATGCACTCATCCAAGTCAATCTCATCAAAGCCAAATGCACGACAGTGGGGAAGGGATGATTTCCTGAAGAAATGGGACAAATTGTTACCAAATAAAGCAAGGCTAGAGGCTGAACAGGCAACAACAAATGCTTAGGACCTCACCGTTGTCATAGATGCACCTTGAACTCTGCGTGTATCACTCTGCAGTAGCATTCACAGATCGGAGTCCCCAATTTGTCTGGGACTCATCTTCCATCTCATCTCCCTGAAGCAGATGCTGCTCAGAGGCCCAAATGTAACAAACAGCGACCCGTGGACTCCATCCTTGTCCAAACACAGCCAGGAGAGGGGGAAGTGCAATTCGGCCCGGCCCTGCATCTGCAGTTTTAGCTCCTCCTGCTTGAACCCAGGCTGAGAGGTAAGAGGAAATCTCCCACCCCATCTTCTCTCACAGTCGCTGACACTGCATTTTCCAGGTCAAAAGCCCACATGAATTTAAACAACTGCTGCTTATTTGAACACCTGCTATGTGCCAACATCCCATTACAGGTGACAAGGACAAGATTCATCCAGATAGGAATGTCTTCATAAATAAAGGCAATTGTACACTTTAATGGGGATGAATTTTGTGACATTAATTTTTCAAAGGGGATACAGGTCTTCTGTGGTGTGATTTCATTTATAGGAAACACTGTGAAACCAAAAGGACATGGCTGGGGAGGAGGGCATTCAGGTGTCAGCAGCTCACAGGTGAGGTGTGAGCTAGGCCCCGAGATCGGGAAATATTATGCAGGCGGTAAACGATAGGAACGCACAGACAAGAAAAAAAGTCTAGCAATGACTTCATCATTCCTTCATGTATATTGAAGTTAAAAACGCATCCCATGTATTTACTCGTAGTGATCCTTGATATGGAAAAGCAAGAAGGGATTTCTGCTCCCACCTTTTTCCCTCTGGCATGCATGGTGGCGCCTGCGTGGGTCAATTCTTATTATGGCTGCACATTCTTTTGGCTACACAATGTGCTAAGCTAGCTTCTCCACTCCTCATTCCACCTCCACACCCATCCCAAGAAATCATCTCTACCATCGCCATCTCCTTCACCACCATGCAGTGACTTGCCCTGGGTCATGTGGTAACCGAGGGAGCAGCTTCCCTACCACAACCTTTTAATCCTTCCGCCACATCTTCAATAACGTGGGCCTATTCTTTATTCAGAGAACTAGCCGCCAATACTGATTCCTGGCTGTGGCATTTATAACTCCTTGGGACACTTACCAACTTACAGGACTGCCACACTGAGCCGTAGGCCTTTGAGTTCAGGGGCATGTCTTAAGAGTCTTTAATTCACTTAAGTTCAGCAAAATATCTGAATATGGCCCAGTAAGCATGTGTTTCAAGAATGACTAAAAGGAGCTCACAGCAGCAGCATGCTCGTGGCTCATGCTTGTAATCTTAGCCTCTCAGGAGGCTGAGATGCAAGGATCAAGATCCATAGCCTTCAAAACATTCACATACAGTAAGACCAAAGGAGGATCCTCTCAGGAGAGGGGCACAAAGGGGTGCAATGGTTATGTGCCTCTGATCCTGTAAAATAATATTGAAATGAATTCCAGAGAGTGGAAGTAAAAAATAAATTATTTAAGATTTGAGGCTGGCCCAGGCAGAAAAGTCTGAGACTTATCTCCAACCAGCAAAAAGCCAGAAGTACAGCTGTGACATGTGGTAGAGCACCAGTCTTGGGTAAAACAGCTAAGGGAGAGTACCTAGGCCCAGAGTTCAAATCCCATTACCAGTACATCAACAAGACTGAATTGTAATTGGGGTTAGACCTACCTCTTAACGACTCCATCATCAGGAAGAGGTGGATTCACAATGCATCCCTTTTGCTTGCAGCACTTGAATTTCCAGTGGACTATTTATCTGAGATGTGGGGGTTTGCCGCCATTTTAAATGGGAATCTATTAAAGCCTTCCGCATCCCAGTAAGAGATCACTTGCTGCTGCCCATGTGGACCAGGCAATGATCTGCCCACTTCAGGGAATGCCAGAGGGATCAACAGAGGCCTATGCAGCATGTAGCACTGGCACTCAGTGAAGAGCATCTGCTATGAGACCGTGGTAGCCCAGGAAAGTGAAGGAAACACGTTGTCCTGGGAATGATTGGGCCTAAGGTGGCCAAGATGGGCTGCTTGGGCAGTCTCCATCCACTGCTAGTTAAGAATCAGCTAGGGAACCTTTCAAATATGAGCCCCAACTCAACATGAACCCCTTAGGCTGGGGCCTAGGTATAACTTTTTCATTCTCCCCAGAAGACTTCAACAGGGTAAAATTGCTCAAGCTACAAGAGCTGGCAATGAGCAATAGCCTAAGGAACCTAACTGCCCAGCAAGATAATTCCCAGGCATAAGAGAAAGACCATCCCAGTTTTCCAATTGAAAACAGTCTTGCTAGGTGCCTGTGGCTCACACCTGTAATCCGAGCTACTCAGGAGACTGAGATCTGAGGATTTCGGTTCAAAGCCAGCCTGAGTAGGGAAGTCTGTGAGACTTTCATCTTCATTTAACTGCTAAAAAGCTAGAAAATAGCACTGTGGCTCAAAATGGTAGAGCACTGGCCTTGAGCAGCAGCAGCTCAGGAACAGTACAGTACCCAGGCCCTCAGTTCAAGGCCTAGACCCATACCAAAACAAAGAAGCAAACTAACAAAACAGAAGTCTTAAAATTGAAAACTTAACCTTTTCTGAGCCTGGGATACTGCATACTGATAAAATCCATCCCTTACTGATTAATTACCAAGTTCACAGAAAAGTAATCACTCTGGGAAGTTGTAACAAAGCTCAAGTGTTTATTAAGAATTAAAAATACTGTAAATAAGCCATACCGTTCAGTTCACAGTAAACTAAACAAACCTTTTTTTTTTTTCTTTTTTGGCTTTTTTTTCTTGTTTTTTATGGGTTTTTTTTCTTTTCTTTTTCTTAGAAGGGCAAGACGACCATGAAAGAACAATACAGCTCAAAGGGAAGGGACCTCACTGACAGATAGGTGGGCCTACAGACCCCTCCGGCCCCAACAGACCCCTTCAACTCCATAGAGTTAAAAGATTCAGCCTACACTCCCAAGCAGGGCACCCTATTCTTATATGGACAGCTCTTAACCATTTCTCAAAAGCCCAAAGGTTCTCCTTCCTGGGACACTAAACGTACGTATCATTGGGTAGGCCTCCTAAGAGCTGACCCCGACTGGACACCTAGGACAAGAACAGCAAAGGTCCTGGGCCTCTGGGTGCTGTACTTTCCATTCACAGCCATCTGGACTCTTGTGTAGTCACCTCTGAAATCACAAGATGATGAGAGGGAAAGTCACATCTTGGGGGTGACCCCCCACTAGCTGATTCTTTTAAAATAAGCTAAGGGGGAGGCAGCTTTCCCCTTCCCTATTCAGAGCTGACACCTATGAATTTGAACCGGTTTTAAGTGGAAGACAACAAGTGAAAGGTATCTCATAAAAACTTCTGCCAAGAATATAAAAAAATACATAAAATCAATTTTCCTTAAAGACGGTTAGAAAAAAAAAAAGCGCCCCCTATTCTTTTTTTAAACTTGAAATCTGTCTGCCAAACAGGTTTTTGTTTTTGAGGTTCATCTGCTCCCATGAAGCCCAGTTGAAGCTGCTGTCATTCGTCTGACAGGACACACATCCTTTCTAAAAAGGGCTGGGCCTTCGGAAACCAACCCAAAGCAGAAGCAGAGACCTTAAGAAACAAAGTATGTGTGTGTGTGTGTGTGTGTGTGTGTGTGTGTGTGTGTGTGTTAATTACAAATAAATTAACCAGGCACAGAATACAATGGCTTGGTGTTCAGATGGCGTCTTTTGTTCTTCAAGGGGAGACAAGAAACGGGAAAGGGTACGTGGAAAGAAACCATCACTTTTTTTTTTTTTTTGGTCATGAGAAATGGGACGCGCCTTGCACACACACAGTCCATTTAGATCTTCTCGTGAATCTTTTCAACTTTTACAAACAACCGATCTAGATCATTCCTCAGGTCATCTAGCAAACCCTTGACTGACTCTAGATTGTTCTCGTTGGTTTCAATTTTGACTGAGTAAGCGACCAAACTGTCCACGGCAGTCCTGAGCATCTTCAAGTCTGACTCCACTTGACTCACTGAGGATTTCAGGTTGTCTAGAGAAGCAAGTTTGTCCAGGAACTCCTGAGGAGGCAGATGGGCGGCCTGGGCCTGGGCCTGGCCGAGCAGCGTGTGCACCTGCTCCTGGACTTTCTGCAGCGACTCCATGGTGCTGGGTAGCTCGCCCACGCTTCTCTTCAGGTCCTCCACGTCACTGTACAGGGCCAGCTGGGCCTCCCCCAGGCTCCGCACCGTGCCCGCCAGGGCGTCCTTGTCTGCCCCAGGGGAGGACCCCAGGCCTTCTAGGTGTCCCTGGAGCATAGCCAGGCGTTGTTCGTGCTCCTGGCTCTTAGACAGGAGTGATTCTAGGCTCTCGGTCTGGCGTGCAGAGGCCACCTGAACTGAATGGACTCCGTCCTCTACACTCTGGAGCCTGGAGTCCAGTCCCTGATTCTTCTTCTGGAGAGCATCTAAGGCATTGAAGCTTTGCAAATCACCATCTTCCTGGGGCCTCTGAGCCTCGGCCTTCAGCTGGCGTAGCTCTTCTTCCAGCCTCCTGATCTCCTGGGGGAGGCGGGAGGTAGACTCCTCAGCTTGGAGGAGTTTCTCAGAAAGGGCCTGCAGGGCTGCACGCTCTGTGTCCGCCACCTCCTTGAATGCCTGCTGCTCCTGCTTGAGACTCACCAGTTCCCGCACCTCTGTGTAGATGTCAGACTCCATTGTCTGCAGCGAGCTCCTCAGGGCCTCCATGTCCCGGTCCCTGGACTTCACAGAGGTCTGTATCTTCTCCACCTCTTCCTTTAGGGCCTTCAGCTCCTGCTTGTGCCCCTTGGATTCTTCTAGAGAGGCGACCTTTGCCTTCACGTCATTAATTTCCTTCTGGCTCCTCTTCTGGACTTCGGTGAAGATGGCGATGTTGTCATTGATGGACTTGGTGAGCTCCGTCAGCCGCTCTTCCACCGTGTTTTCCAGGGACGTGAAGTCCCGCTCGCGGGCATCTTTGACCACATGGATGCCGTCCGAGAGGTCTTTGAGGATCTCGTTCTGCAGCTTCTGCAGTACTTCACTGATGCGGTTGATCTCACTCTCTCCTTGCTTCACCACCTTCTCCGTGAGGTCCTGCTTATGCTGGGAGCTTCTCAAGATGGACTCAAAGGTCCCAAACGTGGCTTGCAGAGACTGCACCTGTAACCCAAACCCAGATGTGAGCCACAGAGAAGAGAGCCTTAGTTTTACATGATATAGCTTCCCTCCCCTCCCCCCCTCCCCCCCCCACCCAGAATCCAACCCTAGGGCCCACTCCAAGGGCTCCACCTACCCCACTCCCCCACTCCCTACTCAGTCTGCATTTGACTAGTCCAGGAACGGGCCCACAGAAGACAAGCAGGCTGAGAAGGCAAGTCAGGACTAGAGGGGAAGGAACTTCCCCCACTGGAATTGTTGACTATAGGAAGAGACAGACCTGAAGCCCAGACCAGCACACAAGGAGTGTTCACTTTTCTAGAGAGCAAGGCAGCACAGAGAGAAACAGAGAGATGGCAGGATCCAGTTCCCCAGACATCATCCAAACCACTGGAGACAGGTATAGCTCATCTGAAGCAATCTATTCTTCCACGTTTTAGCTTGAACCAATCAATTCTCAATTTCTTTCTCTCCAAGACAATCCAGACTGGATTTCTAGTTCTTGTGTCTTCTAAATTTCCATAGGAAAGAAACTGAGGCATGTGGAAACACCAGGCTGGAAATTAAGAGACAAGGGTCCAGGTCTCTGCTCACCAGTTCCAGCTGTGGCATCCTCGCTAGCATTCTCCGTCCCTGTGAACACACTGCAATCTTCCTTGCTGTTACATGCTCATTCAATGCACACAAATTCTGTCCTAAAACAAGATTGATCTGAGCACTACTAGGAGCTGGTCTAATTGAGTATACAAAGGATGAACCCAGATCTTATTCTGGCATGACAATGGTGTTAGCTTCAATGCTTAACTGAAGAAAAGATTTTCTTTTAAGGGGGAGAAGGAAGAAAAGTCCACCTGGGTATCCCTGTCTCGAGGTCTCACAACCATTTCCGAAAAACATGGAAGCCAGGAGCGTGCTGTGATGCCACAGGGAAATGATCAGCCAAACCCACAATTCTGGAAAAGTCACAGGAGAAATGATTCTTGCCAACATTCAGCAACTGGTATTTTGAAAGTGGGGAAGATGTAAAATAAAAAGCTTCTGCACAGCTAAAGCTATCGCAACCAAGCTAGAAAGACAACCAACTAATTGGGAAAATATATTTACCAGCAATATATCAGACAAGGGGTTAAGATCCAGTATATATAGGGAACTCAAGAAACTAATCCCTCCCAAACCTAACAAACCAATTACTAAGTGGGCAAGGGAACTAAAGAGAGACTTCTCAGATGAAGAAATAAAAATGGCAAAGAAACACATGAGAAAATGTTCACCATCCCTGGTTGTGAAGGAAATGCAAATAAAGACAACCCTGAGATACCACCTTACCCCAGTCAGAATGTCCCACATCCACAAGTCAGCCAACGACAAATGCTGGAGGGGATGCGGAGAAAGAGGAACCCTATTACACTGCTGGTGGGAATGTAGACTTATACAACCACTTTATAAAGCAGTCTGGAGGGTCCTCAGAAAGCTAAATATTGACCTCCCTTATGACCCAGTCATACCACTTCTAGGCATCTACCCTGAACAACAGGAACCAATATACAATAAATCATGTTTATTGCAGCACTGTTCACAATAGCTAGGATATGGAAACAACCCAGATGCCCCACCACAGATGAATGGATCCAAAAATTGTGGTATCTATACACAATGGAATATTATGCAGCCATTAGAAATGACAAAATAATGGCATTTGCAGAGAAATGGATGGAGCTAGAAGAAATCATGTTGAGCGAGGTAAGCCAAGAGCAAAGAGACAAATGGTACATGGTCTCCCTGATAAGTGGATATTAAATCCAAAATGTTAGGTGATACGACAAAATTAACAGGACTTAAGAAACAAAGAACTCCCACTCATCTGGTCAAACCACTACTAAATAACCCCATGCTGCTGATCACATGTATGGTGTATATGTGCACACCACTATATGTTATAGACCGTGATAGACAATTTGCTCCAGGAAAGTTAGAATGAGTTTGTGATTTTAAAAGAGCATCACTATCCCACAATACTGTGAAATTTGGGAAATTATGTAATCACTTAATCACAATAAAAAAAAAAAAAACACCAGAAAACTAGAAGTTGCGCTATGGCTCAAGTGGTACATCATGAGCCTTGAGCTGAATTGCTCAGGGACAGCTCCCAGGCCTAGAGCTCAAGCCCCACGACTGACAAAAACAAAAAGAGAGAGAGATCTTTCATGTGACTGTTTCTACCATATTTATAAGATTATGTCTTTGTTGCTTTGTATGTCCCTCCCCCATGATATAACCCCTGCTTTCACTATATATGATGTTGGTATATGTGGAGGGGAAGGGAAAAAACAAATTGTTAAAACAGGGATACAGGAGGACCCATTGCAACAATGTGATGTACAAGTCGTTATGTTGAAAAACCAACTTTACAACTTTGGTGGGGGGGAGGGGGAGGAGGATGGGAAGGGGAAACAAAGGAGGAGGCTACAATGCTTGATAAGAAATGTACTCATTATCTTGCCCATGTAATTGTAACCCCTCTGTACAGTATTTTCACAATAAAAAAAAAGAAAGTGGGGAAGATGGAAAGTATTATGAATTAAATGGAATTTAAACCAAGTGACTCATACTCCTAGCTACTCAGGAGGCTGAGAACTTCAAGACTTAAATTGAAAGCCAGTCAAGGGGGAAAAGTCCAGAGACTCCATCTCCAAAATAGCTAGCAAAAAGTTGGACTGTAGGCACAACTCAAGTAATAGAGTACCAGCTGAGTAAATAAGCTGAGCAAGTGCAAAGTCTTAAATTCAATCTCGGAACTGATTTAAAAAAAAAGGACCAGAAGGATTTTCAATAAAATATAATGTGTAGATATTACATAGATTCAGTTCAAGTCAAACATTAGGAAGACAACTTGGGGGAGAAGTGAGGAGGTTCTACTATTAAATGATGAACAAGAATCATTAACTTTGACAGGTGCCAGGTGCTGTGTTTGGTCAAAGGAAATAAACATGGTATCACACACCTGTAATCCCAGATACTCAGAAGGGAAGAACCTGAGTTTGAGGCCAGGTGGAACAATATTATAAGATCTTCATTAAAAAAAAAAAAACAACAACAACAATCCCCCCCCAAAAAAAATCAAGGCTCACCATGGTGGTGCATGCCTCTAATGCCAACTATGAAAGAAGCAGAGATGGTGGTTGAAGGGCAGCCTGGGGCAGGAGGGAGTGGGGAGGGGGGGGACACACAGTAGTTAGTGAGACACTATCTCAAAAAACAAGCTAAGGCTAGAAGTACAACTTAAGCAGTACATCCCTTGCCTCGCATGCATGGATCCCTGGGAGTTCAAACCTCATGACCTCCCAAAGGGGGGGTGGGGGGGAGGGACCAGCAATGCGTACAGAGATCAAAGAAAAAGCCAGGTATGATGATATGTGCTTGTAATACCAGTTATCCAGGAGGTGAAAATAGAAGGATGGTGGTCTAAGCCTGGGGCAAAAGTGTGAAACTCTAGCTAAAAAGTAACAAATGCACAAAGGACTAGGGGTATAGCTCATGTGATAGAGAGCAGCATGCCCAGCAAGAACAAGGCCGAGTTCATATCCTTCATATCCTAGAAACACACATAGATACAGATACAGATACACACACACACACACACACACACACACACACACACACACACACACACACACACACACACACACACACACACACACACACACACACACACACACACAGTGAAAGGAAGAAAAGAAACTAGCTCCCTGCCCCTCCCTATCAACCCACCCCAATTCCACAAGACTCTGGTCTGCCAGGGCAACACAGGCCTAGAAGTGAGCTGCCAACATGTTCTGAATCTCTAGACCTCCGTGCCCCTAGTCAGTCTTCACAGTAAGGGCAGGCTGCTCTACTCAGATGATTGGGGCCACTTTTCAAGAGCAACTAGAGAACAAGACAGGCACCCAATAGGACCAGGTGAGCACCCAACAGATGCAGAATAGTTCAGGGTGAGACTGCTCTAAATCCAGCCAGGAAAATGGGAGGAGGACTAGGGATGGAATCAAACAGTTAAAATGTCGACAGTTATTCAAACAAGAGTCTGTTCTATTGCTCTCTTCTTTTGTTTAAACTGGAATACAACAATGATCTGAGATCCTTTGCTTTTTTGAATTACATCGGCTCTGGAGTCAACTACCTAGGCTCAAATCCTAGCTCTGATACTTTCAGGCTGGGGCAATCTTGGGCAAGTTACAGAGCCTTGGTTTGTTCGACTGCATGAAAGGAACAAAAATAGTACCTGGACTCACAGGACTGTCACTGTGAGAATTAGGTGAATTCACATATGTAAGCTGCATAACTGCTTAACACACAATGGCTGCTCAACCCATGGCCACTACTGTCTTTCTCGGTGTTTCAGTGTTTTGTAGTTATTCTGAAGTACCTCAGGAGCCTGGAGATACCTAGCACCATTCTTAGCCTCAAGGCCAAAGGGCAGAATCTATAAAACACAATGTGAAACAGGGCTCCTGGGCTCTAGAGTTCTAGCCAAACCAACCACCACTCAGTGAACTCAAAGAAGTCACCTCCACTCCCTGCATCCAGTTCCTCATCTGCTAGCAAACAGGACACTCAAGTCCCTTCTATCTACTTCAGTCTCTGATTTTAAGATAGATTATCCTAAGGTAGTTAGGGACTCCAGAATAGTAGAAAACTGCCCAACTAAACACAACCTGCGGCATACAGGGACTCTGAGAAGTACTAGGCAGAGCTGATTCCTAAAACCACACTACAAAATCAGTCTGTTGTAGCATCGTGCTCAAAACAGAAGTGAGAGTGAGTGAGCCTGGTACCTGGTAACATGGCAAGTGAGCAACCAGTGCTCTTTCAATGAACTAAAGAATTCAGAGCAAAACTTAAATGATGAAGACTAAGACAGTCCATTTCCCCAGCTCCTTCCCCTAACCTGGGCTAACACATTACAAATGGTTTAGAAGGTGATTCTATCCAAAATTAGAGATGGAACCAAACCAACCCACCCCCCCATGCTCTTAAAAGCAAACATACAGTGAAGATGTTGTGAGTTGTTTATCAATATAGGTAGAGACCTCATATTAATCTGTATGTATGGGATATGTCTATTCTCCCAACATATGTGCAATACCTGCTATGTGGACAGTGCTGGGTGAGATGCTAGAGATAAAATTATGGCTAGAATAGGATCCCTGTCCTCAAGGAGCCTGGCTGGGTGGTAGGTGGGTGCTCTGGGTACCCATGATGGCTGAAGTTTAATGGGGAACCCCAATAACTATTCAAAGTGTTAACTAGTTTATTTTTAAAGAAAAGACAAGAAAGGAAAAAAATAGGCACTGGTGGCTCACACCTGTAATTCGACTCAGGCAGGAAAGTTCATGAGACTCTTCTTACCTCCAATTAACCAAGAAGGCAGAAGTGGAGCTGTGGCTTAAGTGGTAGAGCATTAGCCTTAATTTAAAAAAAAAAAAAAAAAGCTAAGGGACAGTGCCCAGATCCTAAATTCAAGCCCCAGAACTGGCACAAACAAAGAGTTTAATTGTTTGAGAAGAGCCTCAAAATCCCAGGAGATACTGATTTCAGAACCTGAAGATTTACACATGACATGCTGTCTTGTGTCTGCCTAACAAGCTCTGACATGATCAGACAAAAGCACGTTCCAAGTGCACTGAGAACCTAGAAGAGGGGCTGGCTGACTCCCATCTGCACTAGCAGACGAAGAAACACAACCACAGAAGTCACTCTCCCACATAAGCACTTCTCATTAAACTGCCCTTACCAGCCTAAGCTGCCCCATCTGTGCAAACACACACACTGGTACCTGCCTCCGAGGATGCCTGGGAGAAGTGCAAGCAAGGCTATGAAGCACTTAATTGAATGTCTAGCCCACGGTGAATACTAATTACGAATAAGACACTGCTAAGGACAGAATCTCATCCCCAGCTAAATCTCAGAGTTATGCCAGAGTTCAACCCTAGGTGTCAGCAAACCAATCATGAATGACTGGCTCCTTGATACAAAATAACTCACACAGTGGCTATCTGGACTAGGCAGAAGGGACCAGACACTGTGCCAGATCCTAACCCTGTTCTGGGCAGGCTGAGGCTCCAAATCAAACATTTAATTGAACACCTACAATGTACCGGGGGAAATAATAAACAGCGAAGTGGTGAAGAGGGTTCTAGTAGTTACACCTCAGTTTGAGTCCTAGCTCTGCGGCTTACTGTGTCTCCATGCAGTTCCATGGCCTCTTCACATTCTTGCTCTGGGAAATGGGCTAGCAAGAGCACTTAATGTCTCAGAATTCTTCTCAGAGTCAAAAGAGATGATGCATTCATTTTCAAGTACTTAGCCTAGTGCCTGCCACATAGGAAACACACAATAAATATATGACACTGAATTTGATCGCTTGATTGTACTAATTAAAAGAAAGGTGGTAGGGTCACTAGTTAAACAACTGTAGAGCCATGATGATTCTCAAAACTCTGGGTATCGTCTGGGAATGTGGCTTAGTGGTAGAGTGCTTGCCTAGCACGCATGAAGCCCTGGGTTCAACTGCTCAGTACCACATACACAGAAAAGGCTGGAAGTGGTGCTGTGGCTCAAGTAGTAGAGTTCTAGCCTTGAGCAAAAGAAGCTCAGGGACAGTGCCCAGGTCCTGAGTACAAGTTGCAGGACTGACAACAACAACAACAAAAATGGCTATCACCTTTCTGTTGTGTGTGGATGGGAAACTGAGCCCCAGAGACCAAAGTGATCTGCACACAGCTGTACTGAATAATTGCTAAGAGCCAAAAAGGAGGGGCTGACAGAGAGACAGGGAGAAGTACAGAGCCAAAACCTAATTGCAACTTAGATTCTAGACCTCAACTTCCAACTTCCCTCTCTCACAATTTCCTAAATGTGACTCTGCATGGCATGGTAGCCACCTTCGGTCCCTCAGTGAAAGATCTCACCCCTCCTGGTGTGTTTTTTACATTCCTTATCAACACGGGATCTCCATCAACCATAGGGGTGTTACACCTATTTACATACTGCTCCACAAGTATGATGTGTCCTTGTGCTCCTCCAAACGCTCCACAGGGCCTACGCAGTCATATGACTAACAGCCTTCAATAAATATTATGATTGATTAGCAAAGTAGGTGGGTGAAAGAGAGGAAGTGGGTTAGTGATTAGACTTCGGTGGGATGTCTTTTTTTTTTTTTTAAAGAAGGATTTGACATTCGTGCTAGGCAAAGCAACTCTGCCTACTGAATTCCCTTAGAGAAGTCACCTCCCTGGGCCTGCAGCACTTAAGCAGGCTGACTCATTCTGGTTGCTCTACCAGTCTTAAGAGGAAATTCCTAATGCTGCACACTCAACCCAAGTAGAGAGACTTGGCAAGACCAGCAGCATGCTGGGAAAAGGAGACAGCAGTTCTGGGCTCAGAAGTGGCGGGATTTTTTGTTTCAGTCCTCCAACTGACTTTCATTGAGTGGTGACGTGGGTGGAGGATGGAGGAAGAAATGGGAAGGGAAGGGCTGCCCTTGGTCTGGTGAAACTACACAAGGGTTGTACAATTATATCTTGAGAGTTGGGATCCAGTCATCTCTGAAATAGGACCCAGGGGCACCCTGACTAGGCAGTGGCCCAGATTTTCTCATCCGATCCGCCACACATCAGCTGGGAGGGAGGAGGGGGGAGACCTTTGGTAATTCACTGACTCTCTCTAAATCTCAATTTTCTAGTCTGGAAAATGGAGTCAAAACTGCCTGTCTGTCCACCCTCCCTACCTTTCCAGGATTGCTCTGGGGATTGGATAATACACGAGAGAGCTCTGCAAACCCCATTAATGGCTCTACCAGTACTATATGTGACCTAATATTTTTGGTCTCTCCTTCCTAGCAAAACTGAAGTAGGCGACTTCAAAGGGCTAGGAAAGGGTCCGAGGGACCTAAAGATAGGAAATATTTCATCTGAGCTTAGCAAATGACTGAGAATATTAGCTTTTCCTTCCCCCTGGCTCTCAGGCGCTGGTCAGAGCTGGCTGAGAAGTCTCCCACTCGCCGGGCGGAGGTGCAGGCCTTGCCCCGGGATGCGCTGGCATCCCTTCCAACCTCCTTTTCAGACAACTCTGCTCATTCAGCGGTTCCTAATCCAAAAAGAATGAGCTCCCCAGGGCCTGCCGGCTTCCTTATAGGTCACTGCTAATGTTCGGTGACAGGCCCTTGACCCACCCTCCCTGGACGGCCTGGCCATCCACCAGAGGTCCATCCCCAGGGCCCCTTCTCCGCGGCCATTGACAAACAGGGTCTGGGACAGCTCGGGGAGCGAGGGGCCGGTGGGGAGGGGGGGGGGCGGGCTGGACCCCCCCCCCCCCAAGGAAAGGCAGAGGATCTGACCACCGGGCCTGGGCAGGGCCCACAGCCGAGAGGACACGAGGAGGTGGGGAGGCGGTGGCGGAGGGGGGGAGGGGATCGGGACAGGGGGGTGCGGGGGTGGGGGGCACCCACCTTCTGCTCGACGCCCTGCAAGCCCTGGCTCAGCTCCTCCCGCTGCCGGGAGAAGTCCTGGTGGCTGCTCTGGACCTGCTGGACCTTGTCCAGGACGTGGTGGACGCACCAGCCGGAGAAGGCGACGGCGGCCACCGGGGCGAGGTAGAAGAGGAGGTGGAGCGCCCGGGCGAGGCGGCGCGGGCCGGCGGAGGACGCGGCGGCCGCGGCGGCGGAGCGGGCGCCCCCGCGGTGGCCGCCCCGGCCGTGCGCCGGGGTCTGCGGGTGCTGCTGCGGGTGCGGCGCGGGCGGCGGCGGCTGCTGCGGCGCCGGCGGCGGCTTCCTGGCCACGTCATCCGCGCCGCCCGACGGGTGGGCGCCCTTCTCCGAGGGGCTCGCGGCGCCGTGGCCGCCCTTGGAGCCCCTTTGTTTGGCCGAGGGCATGGCGGCGGCGGCGGGGGCGGCGGCGGCGGGGCCCGCGGCTCCGAGGCGAGCGGCGCGGGGCGCGGGGCTCTCGCTCGGGATCCCCCGGGGCTGGGCGACGGGCACGCGTGGAGGGAGCGCGGCGGCGGCGGCGGCGGCGGGCGTCGGAGCGGCGGGGAGCGCGGGCGGCGGGCGGGGTAGGAGGCCGCGGGGCGGAGGGGAGGGAGAGGGGAGGAGGAGGGAGGGCTGAGGGGGAGGGGGCCTCCGCCGCGCCGACCCCGCCTCCCGGGCAGGGAGAGCCTGCCACGCACGCGGCCGGCCCGCGGCCCCGCCCCCCGCCGCCACGACCCCACCGAGGGCGGGACGCGGACGTGGGAAGGCGGGAGCCGGGCCCGCCGGGGTCCACGGGGCCGCGGCGGGGCTGGGGGCGGGGAGCTGGGCGGGAGCAGGGGCGGGGTCTGGGGGCCTCCCCCCATCTCCGATCCCGCGGCAGCCGTGGGGGGGGCGGAGCCGGAGCACCCCCCCTTCCTTCCCGATCTGTACGTGGAAGGAAGTGGAGGGGCTCCCGGAGTGGGAGTGGGGGGGGCGAGGGCTGTCGCACCGGGGCTGGTGGGGGGGCTGCACGGTGGCCCAGCCTTAGCCAGTGCCACCCCCCCCCCTCCTTCCTGATCTGTACGTGGAAGTGGAGGGGCCCTCGGAGTGGGAGTTCTTCCAATGCAGGGCTCGTGCTGGGCTGGGGTGCGGGGGGGGGGGGGGGGCGGGACTGGGGGCTGGGGTGCGGGGGGGGGCGCGGGACTGGGGGCTGGGGTGCGGGGACGGGAGGGGGGTCTGGGGGCCGTCCCCAGGCCCTCTGCGGAGGAGAGGTGGACCTGTCTCTCCCCCAGGGTTTGAAGGCAGAGGCCCCAAGGGTTACCTGCCGCGCAGTGGAACGTGTTTGGCTAAGAGTGAGCAAAGGGTCTTGGACTGCAGTCACTCTGTCCATTATACGGTACCTGTTAGCCCAGCTAGTGTGCAGAGGACAGCGCTTCTCCAGACTCGCTTTTCATTTAGGGGAGGGGGCTCCCAGGGGTGGATCACAGCTCCTACACTAGACCGGCTCCCAGCTCCGTGCCCAGAAGCCCCCCGGCTACCCAGATCACGGTTATCACCCTCACTTTGGGAGAAGGGAATAGAATCATGTCGTGTCCTGTACTTTAACAATTTACATGTGTTCTTAAAACCCTGAAAAGGCATATTTTTGCCATTTTATAAGAGAGGGAAACTGAGGCTAAATCTCCCCTACCCTTCCTCCCCCAACTGATTGGCTCAAGGTCACACACAGAGCTAGGATTCGAACCTAGATCTGCTTCTGCCAAAGCCCGTGGGGCTCCCTCGCCGCCGAATGGGAAGGAAACTGGGACCCACAGAAGTTAAGCAACTTGCCCACTCTTGCTCGAGGTGGTTACTTCCCCTGGCAAGGGCAAGGCTCCACTGCTTTTCCCCCTGCACCTGGTCCCTGGCGTGTGTTGGGCCTGTATAATGGGAATGAATGCTGTCTATACCGGTTTCTGCCTGGACCTTTTTTTTTTTTTCCGAACTGTTTAAGGGGGGGAGGGGAAATACTTCCAGTCTCAAGGCCAAGTGCAAGTGACACAATTTCATGCTTTCCCTCTAATAACACTAACTCAACACCTTTTACAGGATTTAGCCAATACTGAAACAAGAGGCAGTTCTGTATGTGAATTCACTGTAGCAAAGCTTTGTTGAGGCCCCACTGTTTGCTACACAGATGTTTGTAAACTACCAATCTCCCTTGAGAACAGAAAGAGACTATTACTTATACTTCTCTTTGTAGATCACCTCATAAACCTCTTTAAAAACAAATCTAGCGAATGAATGAACACATTTGTGCTTGCCCTCAAGAAATCTGCAGTGCATTTGGAGCAATAGGCAGGCACATGTTAAGGGCTTGATAGCTAAGAGATGAGAATATATAGATCAAGAAAAACTTGGAAAGCAAACCTTGGACTGTACACAGGACATAGAATGAATGATCTGAAGAATGGATTTGCATAGGAAGTGCTCAGGGAGGTTATTTCTGGGGCAGAAATGGGGTGAATCCAGGACACCTGCCTTGCACGAAGGGTGTGCATACGGAGATGAGCTGGGTGGGGTAGATTCAGATTTCAGAGGCCAGCCAGGCAGGCTGAAGACTCACTATTAGTGTGGAGACCTGAATAGATTAGAGCAGGTTCTAATCCAACATAATCTTCTGTCCCAGCTAGACAGGAACAACCTAACATCAGCCAACATCAGGAGCTCAAGAAGAAGCCTTCTGCTCCAACAGGGCACAGGAGCCTTGATCTGCAGAGTAGCAGATGGCAAAGGGAAACAGAATAGTTCATCAGAAGATGCTCAGAAAAGCCTTGTTCAGCTAAGTGTGAATTGCAGTTAAACTCTCTAGTGCACAAAAAGAGATCACCCTCCTTAAAGCATCCATCCCTGTTAGAGCAGAGCAGTGATAATGCAGAACTGCAGCCCAGCCACGCTGTGGCCTAGGAGACAGGAGCCCTGCCTGCTTTTTGAACCCAGGCTCTGCCAACCGAATTCTATGACCTTGGAAGGTATCCCTAACACACACACCCTGCCTCTATTTCAAGGTCATCCCTTCTGCAAATTTCACCTCTAAAGCTGTTACGGGGCTCCGGTTGCTCAAACCTGTAATCCTATCTACTTAGGATGCTGAGAGCTGAGGATCATGGTTGAAGCCAGCCCCAGCACAAAAGTCTCTAAGACTCTTACCTCCAATAAAGTTCCAAAAAGCCAGAAGTGGAGTTATGACTCAAGTGGTAGAGCACTAGCCTTCAGCAAAAAGCTCAGGGACACTAACCAGGCCCTGAGTTCAAGCCCCCAGACCAGCACAAGAAAGTAAAGGGAAGAGAAGGGAAGGGGAGGGGAGAGGAGGAGAGGAAAAGGGGGGAAGGAAAGGGAAAGGAAGGGGAAAGAAAACAAGATCTTTTCTATTTGGTACATCTCTTGTTGGTACATCTCTTAGGGAAAATGATCATCTGTTATCAAACCTAGTTCACACACACACACACACACAAACACACACATACACACACACACACACACACACACACACACACACACACACACACACACACACACACACACACATTTATATACTGGGGCTTGAAGTCAGGGCCTTGCCTCTCACTTGGGTTTTTCACTCAAGGCTGTTGCCCTACCATTTGAACTACACTTCCATTTCTGGCTTTTTGTTAGTTTCTTGGAGATAAGAGTCTTTTTTATTTGTTTGCCCAGGCTGGTTTCAAATGGTGATTCTCAGATCTCAGCCTCCTGAGTAGTAGGATTATAGGTATGCGCCATGGGTGCCTGTATGATGCTTAATATCATTTTAAAGTCGATAAACTGCAAGCTAGCGATGAGCGCTGACAGTGCGTCTGGGCGACTTGCCTCTGTTGAACACTAGATGAACTGGAAGTAGGCCAGGGTGTGTTCCCACTGCCAGTTTCCTTCTCACCCTTTTCCTCCAGGAGGCAGTGACTGTAAGAGTTATGGCATAGGCTCTGGCAAAAAAAAGACTTTGGGGTCAGATCTACAACTGATTCTATTGTGACCTCTCCAAACCCCAGTGTTTCCATCTAGAAGATGGGAGAAATAAGAACTAACGTCACCAGATTGCCATGAGAATTCAATGAGACACCATGTGATAGATACCAGGTTCCTAGCAAATCTCAGTGATGCTGGAGTCGCGACTGCTGTCTGCAGAGCCACAGAGCTGCTGTGACCACATTTCAATGATTTCCTTTCATCATTATTTCTTGCAGCTCCCAACTCCATACGTGGCTTACAAACCGCAGGCTATGGTGTGTTTAACTTTAAAAAGCAGGCAGTGTGTTCCTATGAAGTAGGGCTACACCCAGAGGAGGCTGTGAGCGGTCATGAAGTATGCTTTCTGCCCTGGGGAAGGCTCTGTGGTCTTGGAGCCCGTCTCCCCTGTCCCTTTTACTGAGTGAGTAGAGCATACTTTTTTTTTTTTCCTTTTTCCTGCTGACATCATCTCCTGCATTCCTTTTCCTCCTCTTCTACCCTAAAGCCTGAAGAATAAATTTGGATAGAGAAGAGGAGGAGCCTGAGACATCCCTTCCAGGCATCCAGCTGTGCCAGGAAGTGCCTCCATAAACCTTTTGACTGCCTGGACCATAAATTATAAGGTAGAGCCTGCTGCCTAATGGTTTCCCACATTTCAGTTAGAATGACTAAATAGAAAGTCCCCAGGAATGTGGATCACCTCTTCTCTATTCTTGGCTCCCAGAGGCCCAACCATGCCAATCTTAATTCCAAATGCTCTCCAAACAAGGGTGGAGACCCTTCAGAATTTGGTTTTGGAAAGCTAGGACCACCCTCTTGTCTTTCTCCTCTTTTCTATCCAGTGTGATATAATAGCAAATCTTGTTAGTTTTGTATTCAAGTCATATCTAGCATCTCCCACTTCCTATGACCTGTACCATGAGCTACACAACTGATACAAGCTGCCAGCAGCTCACATCTGGGTTACTGAAATACCCTCCAGACTGGCTTCCCATTTCAGCTGTTGTTGACCTGCCATCTGTTGTACATACAAGACCCAGTATGAGCCAGACACTGATGGCTCATGCCTGTAATCCTAGCTACTCAGGAGTCTAAGATCAGAGAACTGAGTTGCAAAGCCAGCTCCAGCAAACAAATCTGAATGACTCTTATATCCCAATTCACCAGCAAAAAAGCTGGAAGTAGAGGTATGACTCAAGTGGTAGAGGACCTTGAGTGAAAAAGGCAATCAAGAGCAAGAGGCCCTGCACTCAAGTCCCAGTACTGCCCCCCCCCCTCCAGTTTAATAAAAGAGCCAGCACAGTTTCATCAAAACAAGAGATTCTGGCCTACCTCTTTCCAGACGGTTTTGGTGCCTGTGTGTGCCGACCGTGGGGCTTGAACTCAGGACCTGAACACTTCCCTGAGTGTTTTTGTTCTAGGCTAGCAC